ATCAGCCTGCTTGTGTCCATACAAGCCTCCTCACGCGTCTCACGGTGCTGCTTCCACCAGCGACGGCGCCAAGTGAGCACAGCGATGCGAGTGGCAGTGAGAGCGGCAGCGGCAGCAGCAGCAGCAGCAGCAGCAGGGATGGCGCTGCTGACGCGGCAGGCTGCTCCGCGCCCACGGTGGCAGTCTCCGGGGCCACTCCCAGCGCCCATCATCGTGGGATTCGCTTCGCCTCGGCGCCGGCGCCGGGTGAGGCGCCGCCAAACGTGCAGGTGATGTGGCACGACAGCTACGGTCAGAGCTGTTCTTTGCTGCTGAGCGAAGTGCGGGAGGCGGGATACGAGGAGCTATTTCCGACGCTCTCCGAGGCCGCGCCTGTGGCAGCCGCGAAACTTCACATGGATAGGTCGCCCCCTCCATCGGCGGCGGGGGGGCTGCCAAACGCCTTGAGCTGCACGAAAACGGAGGCGTGGCGCGGCGAAGCAGCAGATGCGGAGGATAATGTGACATTGAGTGTGCAACGCGTCGTGTACACCCGTGCCGTGTACTGGAAGGTGACGCTGCCGACGGTTCGCGTGGCCTACACCCGGTGCCGCTCGGCGCAGGCACGAGCCTCCTGCCCGACGCCCGCGCCTCTGCCAGGGGAGGCGTGTCACTACTGCTGGGTCTGTCACAGCGCCTGGGTGCAGCGCGAGGCATTTCTTGCGCACTGTCGCTCAGTAACGCATCTCAGCCGGCTTGCCTTTGCCGTGCGCCACGGAATGCGGCGGGACTGGGTGGAGGCGTTCAGCGACGGCACGCTGGCGGATCTGCTGCTGCGGCAGACCGCGGGTGCGGGCGGCGGGATGGGCATGGAGCTGCGGCACTGCAGCGTGTCGCCGACGTCGTTCATGAACGCCCTGCAACTGCACCCACGCGGTGAGGCGGCCGCTGCCACGATGCCCATCGCCATTGCGGGCTCCCTCGTCGCGCACGCAACGGCGGCCGCAGCCGCGTCGGATGTGTCACCGCCCGGCTCTGCATCGAATTTGCAGGCGCTGCACGTGTGGGTGATGGACACGGCAGCGGAGGCCTCCGTGCCCCCAAGCGCCGTGGCGGGCCCACGCACAGCCAACTCCCTCCCCGCGTCTTTGTTTGTGCTGGCTGGATACCTCGCCGCCGCCTCCTCCGGCTTTGACGTGGCGCTGCTGATGAACAAGGACCACTCCCGGGCCTACGCAGTCATGCTGCACGACTGGGGTGTGTGGCGGCTGCCTGTGCCGCTAACCCGCACGCAGCTGCGGGGCGTGCTTGACGTGTTTGCAGGGAAGCCATGGCGTGGCGTGCCCGTCACCGCCGACGGGGGGGAGGGCGACGCTTCCGGCAACGGCGCTGCGCCCACCGCGGAGGCGGGCGGGGCGCATTGGTGCGTCGTCTCCGACGTTTGCCCGCAGTGCACGTACTGTGGGAGCGGCGGTGAGGCCGCGGAGAAGCAGGCCGCGGCGGAGCGGCAGCGGGCGCCGCCCCCGTCGTGCGGTGGCGTGCCGTCCGCCGCGGAGGTGGTGGAGGGGACGCTGCTGCTCGTGCTGCACGAGTACCAAAACTCGCGGCGCAGCGTCATCAGCTTCGCCGACTACGTGCAGCGCGTGGTGGCGAAACTCAACGCATGGTCCGCCGCACAGCAAGACCACCATGAGTTGCTGTGGAGCGCCGCGACGCGTTCTGGCCGGCAGTTGACACCGAAACAAACTGCGGCAGCAGCGGCGGCGGCGGGGCACGGCGGGGCGGAGTTGCTCGCGCGGTTTGTGGCGCGGCGGCACAACCAACCACTGGAGTCGCTGCTGCGCGACGTTGGCTGCCAGTTCCTCACCCCGCCGGGCTCCCTGCTGCGGACGGCCAGCAGGCAGTCCGCCACGCCCGCGGTGCGGCCCGGCGGCGCGGCTGTGGCCCGCACGGTCTCCTTCAGCGCGAGTGCGGCGGCGGCGGCGGAGGGAACGACGACGGAGAAACTTTTTCTCCTTCCAGCCGTCTTGCCGAGTTATCTGCCGTCGCCGGAGTTTGCCGCACTGCTGCGTCGCCGGCGGCGGCACATGCGAGAGGCGTCTGGCGATGGTCTGCCGTCAACGAACGCGGAGGGGCCGGGTGTGGCGAGCGGCCCGCGGCCGAAGATGCAGCAGCCGCTATTTTAACAGGACACAGCCGCTGCACCTGTGCGCAGAGCGAGAGCGACGGATAACGTGAAGGTAAGACGACAAAAGGATAAAAAGACTTGCGTGGAGGTCGTCTGCGCCTCGGCTTGCACCCGGCCTCGCCCCTCTGCAATTTGTCTTCGCTGCCTCCCACGCCGCCTCCGCGTCCCCTTTGTTGTTGTTGTTTTTTTTTTTTTTGGTCACATGCCTTGCGTGCCGCCCCCCTCCAGCTGCTATCGCGGCAGTAGTTCTTCCAGTAAGCGGCGTGGGCGCGCGGAGACGCCACCGCCTAGCGCTTCCCCGTGTGTGGCGTCGGCGCCGCAGCCAAAGACCCGTGGCGATGCGTCTGGGACGCCCGGCAGCAGCGCCCGCGTCGAGGCTGGCCCCCGCCCTGGCACTTTGCCGCCAGCGACGTTGCAGCTCTTCCACGTCGCCCGTGCAGCCGCAGCCGCAGACGCAGACGCCGCAGCGTGCGTTCCGCCGCACCAAACGGACAAACTACGCGGATCGCGAGCAGGTGCTGTTCCCAGTCGCCTGCAGCCTCCCCGCCCGGGGTGAGGCACCGGAGGGGGCTCCCCCCCCGCTCCGCGCCGGCGCCGCAGCTGTAACGTCCACGCATGCCACGCCGGCGTCGCTCACGCGCGGCGATCGCATGGAGCTGCGAAGGTCCGCGGTTGTGCTGAACGCCCTGGCGACACCCGTCGTGGGTCGGTTGGTCTACTACGGACTCACTGCCATGGCATACGTGGGGTACGGCATCGGGAGGGTGTCCTTCTACACACGACAGAGCCTCGCACCTCCGCTGCCCTCGCCCGTGTCCTCGTCAACGTGGCCGGGGCTGGCGTCGTCCACCGCGTCGTCTGCGGCGGTGCAGCACCTCATTGAGATGGGGGCGTACGAGCAGGCGGCAACGGCAGCGGCGGCAGGAGGGGGCCTCCAGAGTGCCGCGTCCGGCGGCGTGGACGTCCCACTGTTCCGCGGCATTCTGCACGGCACTGCGCTGGAATGCCTTTACGTGGGACTCAGTCCCATTCATAGTCGTGGGCTCATGACGACGCGCGACCTCCCGCGTGGCACCCGCATCATTACAGAGCCACGGCGTAGCTACATGGACGCCGCAAACTTCGTTCCCCTTCTGGCAGACACGCATGTGCGGCTCCCCGATACCTGGCACTACACACACCCCTCTGGCACGCTGCTGGAGCTCGTCACACAGCCGCTGCCGCACCATCTTATCAACCACAGCTGCGATCCGAACGTGTGCAGCGGCCTCTCCCGTGAGTTCTGGCCCGCGGCGGCGGCCTCCGCCAACGCCGAGCTGCTCGACCGTATCCGAGGCTTCTCGCACTTTGAGGACCCTAATAGTTTTTTCACCACCCGCGACGTGCCGGCTGGGAGTGAGTTGACGCTGAGTTACGCCCACCGCGTTGCCCCCCTCTTCTCCGGCGAGGACCCGCTGCAGAAGTTTTTCATGCTGTGCCGCTGCGGCTCGCCCACATGCCGCCACTTTGTGTACCGGCCCCCCGACGATGTCATGCGTCACCTCACACGCCGCCCTCGTCGGTGGCGTGGCGGCAGCAGTAGCAGAAAGGGGAGAAACCACGACGACGACGACGACGACGTCGCATCGCTGCTGCGCTTGGGCTTCGACGACGAAACAGTCCTACTGTCGCTCCTGCCGTCGCGGGCGCGGCTGCTGGCGTACGTGCGAACACATTTGGCGCCGTCGCGTCGCACCGTGGCGAAGGGCAGGCTGCTGGCGTCCTACCGGCACGTGTTTAAACTCCTCAACGAGGCCGCACCGCAGCGGCGCGGAGAGCGTGAGTGTGCGAGGCGGGGGATGGACGGTACTTCTTGCGCGGAGAAGACCCCGTGAGGCGGGGCGAGGTTGCCGAGCGGAGAGGGGGTCTGCCGCCCCTGTGGCTGCGCCGCCGCGGCAGGTAAGCGGCGGCCACGGGAAAACAAACAAAACAGACAATAACTTGAGAGAGGGCGTGATGCCGCTGTTGTTGTTGCTACTGCTGTTGTTGCTGTTGCCTTTTTGCATCACCCTCCCTCTCCTCCGCCGCCGCCGCCGCCGCTTTCTCCTACAGTTAGCAGCGGTTATAGGGCGCCAGGCATAGACGCAGAAGAGCGGCGGCGGCGGCTCCCACATGAGCGGCGGCAGCGGCGACTCCTCCGCCGACCCCTCGATCGTTGTAGTGGAGGCGGCGCTTAACGAGTCGCTGGGGAACCGTCGCGGCGGCGGCGGCTGGCAGCTGACAGGCGGAGAAGAAGAGGCGCGGCACCAGCCGCCATCGTCGTCGCTGCCACTCCCTCCGCTCGCCCGCGGCCGCACCGCCAGGCGCAGCAGCCCCAGCCTCTCGACGATAGAAGCGGAGGGGGAGGACGCGGGGGGCGGACGCGCCGCCGACGACAGCCACGACGGGGTGGATGCAAGCGAGGGGGAGGACGAGGATGACATGGCGGAGCGTGTGCTTGCGGCCCTGCAGGAGAAGGACAGGATGCTGGAGGAACAGGCCCGCCAGCTGCGGCGCCACGCGGCGGAGGCGAGGCAGCAGCGCCGGGAGTTAGACGAGCTGCGGGAGGAAAAGCGGCTGCTGACGCAGCAGTTGCGCAGCTTCCTGGGCGGCGCCACAACCATTCCCACTGCGACGGAAGCGGGGGCCGAGCGGGACACGCGGGAGTCGTCGGATTCGTCGATGCTGCTTCAGCGCGTGGACGCGCAGCTGCAGGGCGAGAGGGCGGAGCGGCAGCAGGATGCGAAGCTCTTCATGGAGCACATTGATCAACTCACGGCGCAACTGGCGCAGGCGCAGCGAGAGGCGACGGCGCGTGAGACAAGGCACGCGCAGGACCTTGATGCCATTCAGCGTGAAATGCAGGAGTTCTCCACACTTGTGGAGGAGTTGCACGCGACGAAGGCGACGCTGAGTCGCACGCAGGAGCAGCTCACAAAGACAAATGAGGCGATGGCGCAATGTCAGCTGGAACGCGATCGCGTTGTGCGGACGCTGCAGGACGCGCTGCGCCGCGAAGGGTCTGAGCACCAGCGGGCGCGTGCGGAGGCGCAGGCGTCCCGGCGCGAGGCCGCCGCGGCGAAGGCGAATTGTCGTCGCGCGGAGGCAGCTCATTTGCAATCCACGGAAGAGGTGCGGACGCTGCGAATAGATATGCAGCGGCTGGTGGACGAGACGGCGGCGCTCACGCTGCGGGCGGAATCGGCGGAGCAGCAGCTGCAGCGTTCCCAGAAGCAGCACGCGGAGGGGCAGGCGGCGGCGGCGGCGGCGCATCAGCAGCTCCAGGCGGAGTTGGATGCGAAGTCGCGAGAGGTGGCGCAGCTGCGCTCCACGCGCGACGCCCAGTCGTACTTGCTGGCGGAGGAGGATAAGCGGCAGGCCTCGTTTCGGGAGGAGGTGCAGGAGTGCGTGCACAGCACCCAGCAGCTGGAGGAGGCCTTCCTGCGGTGCGAGCAGCGGCGGCGCGAGGCGGAGGAGCGCGAGACACGCGCAGCCGCCGAACGCGACGCCCTCCGCACGCAGCTGCAGCGCCTCACCTCCGGCAGCCGACAGGAGCTGTTGGAGCAGCAGCAGCTCGCGGAAGAAATGCGTGGGTTTCATCAGGCGAAGCTGCAGCAGTTGCAGCAGGCAGCGGAGCACCAGCGACGACGGGCGGAGCGGCTAGAGGAGGCGAGCGCGGGGGCCATGCGAGAGTGCCGCACGCTGCAGTCGTCTCTTGCAGGCGTGCAGCAGCAGCTGGAGGCGGCCTCAGGGGAGCTGCAGGAGCTGCGGCAGCAGCGCCTCTCACTCGCGGCGCTGCTTGCCGAGTCTCAGGAGGCCCAGAACGCGTGTGCCGCGCGCGAGCAGCACGCCGTCGCGCAGTTGGAGGCGGTGCAAGGACGACTGAAGCAGCGCGAGGGGGCGTGGCGGGGGCTGCGGGCCAAAGTCCAGAGGCTCGAGGAGCGTGAGCAGCGACGGCAGCTCGCCGCGGCGGCCGACTCGCTGCTCCGCGCGCGGCAGGGCCGCCACCCTCCACAGCCGCAGCGTGTGCGGCAGTCGCCGCCGCCGCCGCCGCCGTGCGTGCGCGACGCGGTCCCCGCGGCTGGCGTCGGTGCGGCTCCGCTGGGGGTTGCAGCGGTGGATGTCGACACGACGGTCTCCACAAAAACCTCGTCGTCCGCGACGGTGCCCCCGGCATCGCCGCAGCTGCTGGGCGGGCTCCAGCTGGAGGCTTGGCGGGCCAAGCTGTGGGCCCTGGAGTCCCGCAACGCCAGCCTGGAGCAGCAGCTGGGGTCGCGGCAGAACGGCTACCGCGCGCTCTTGGAGGACCGCAAGGCGCAGCAGCAGCAGATGCGCGCCCTGCAGGAGATGGCGCAGCAGCAGATGGGTGCGCTCGAACGACAGCACCGCGACGCCGTCAAACACCTTGAGGAGGCGCACCGGCGCCGCACAGTTGCCGCCTGCCGTGAGGCGGCGTCAGCGTTGGCCGCCCGCGAGTCCTGCCGCCGATCCGGGATTGCGCGGGTGGTGTCGGAGTTGATGTGGTTTATTCGGGCACTTGAGCGGCATGCGGCGTGGGCGGCGCGTCACCGCGCAATCCCGCCGGGGGCGCCAGTCCAACTGCCTCAAGACGAGAAGGAAAGCGTGCTGCGGGCCGCGTGCGACGACATCGCGCGTAACTGTCTCGGGGTGGAGGGCGGATGGGCGGCGCTGCTGCACCCCGCCTCGCGCGCAACTTGCGGCCGTGTGAGGCTTGGCGGAAAAGCCGCCGCGCTGACCGCCGCCATGCGACGCCGCATTCGGTGCTTTCTATTCGACTACTTGCAGGCCCAACTCCTCAGCAGGCCGGCAGAGGCAGCAGCGGCAGCCCTTCCGGTGCTCCGACGGCACGCGGGTGGCAAGAAGGGTTTGAACGTCAGCTTTGCCGCCTCCAGCGATGGCGGCAGCGGCGGCGGCGACGACGACGACGACGACGACGACGAGGAACCCACGGAGGGGGACGCACGGCCTCTCGTAGAGCTCTTGATGGAGTGCGTTGAGTGCGTGTACGGTGGCGGCGCGCTCTAGTCATGTGGAAGAGGCACCCCGCACACACACACGCTCTCTCTTTTTCTCTCTCTGTCCCTCTATGTGTGTGTGGGTGTCTGCAGAGGCGCCCTGTGGGAGTCAAAAAGATGCAGGGCGGCAGAAGCGCACAGAGTGACGCCGCGGTCAGTTTCAAGCGCCGCCGGGGCGGATGTTTCTCATTTCTCATTTTTTTTTTGGCCGCCGCACCCACCACTCCGCTGCTTCGCCCTGCTTGAAGTTGCCGCGCCACCAGATTCCTGGGCATCTCTCTCTCTCTCTCTCTGGTAAACCCCCTCTCACGCTCGCCATGCTTTCCGTCTGGGAGCCGTGCAGTGAGGGAGCAGCAAGCAAGGAAGGAAAGACGGGGAGGGGGAAAAAAAAGAAGCACAAAGAGGCAGCAGTGGAAAGTAGGAAGAGGAGGAGGAGGAAGAGATCCCAGCCGAGGGGGGTGGATGCTGCAGGACGAGCTCGGCGTGCGGGAGGCCCTCTCCGCCCCGCCCTTCGCCGCCTTCTGCGAGTTCCGAGCCGATGAGCCGCCGCGCCGCGGCTGCCTCGCCGCGCTGTGCGGCAGCAGCGAGACCTCGCAGCGGCCCGCCCCACCGTCCTTTGAGTTGCACTACAAAAGTCGTCGCCCACTGCTGCCGACGACGGTGGAGGCGTACGGTCGCTCGGCGGCTGGGGTTGTGGTGGAGCCGAGCCACCTCCGCAACCCTGTGGCGCTGGAGAAGACGATGCACTTCCTTGTCCAGCACTATCTGCGCGACCCGCACACCCCCGCGGTGTTTCTCGCGCCCTTCGAGGTGTGGCGGTACCTGTGGGATCGCATGCGGCAGGTGCGCACGAATTGGGTGCCGCAACTCCCGCCGGTGGGGACGCAGTCGTTCAGCAGCCACGACTACGCCGACGGCGTGCTGCCGGCCTCCGTGCGGGAGTCCATCCGGCGGCTGAAGTGGCTGGAGTTCACCGTCGCGGCGCTTGCGGTGGGTGGGGCAAATTTGTGCCGCAGCGTGCAGGGCTGCCGCAGATACATGGCGGAGAAGCAGAACTTTCTCGAGTCCATCGCCCAGTGCTTTAGCGACTTGGTTCTCTCCTATCGCGCCGAGCAGCGGCTGCGAAACGCGGAGATGTTCTCCGTCGTTCTCCTCTTTTACGGCCTTGCGCAGCTGACAAAGGTGGAGAACCGCGCGGGTTTTTGTCAAGTCATTGAAGTGCAGGTGGACGCCGACGCCGACGCCGCCACCACGTACGTCTTCGAGCCGCCCTCCCGCAGCGTTGACTTTGGCAGCGTCTACCGCGAGTTGGCTTACCTGCCGCAAATGGCCCGCACGCGGCACGTGCGTTCGGTGCTGCGGCTCATCCACAGCTGGTGCCAGCGCGAGTGGTTTGGGTTTTTCCACCTCTTCCGCACCGAGCCACTCACCGTGCTGCAGCGGGCGATGGCGTTTCACTCCTTCTCCTACGCCCGCTTTAGAGCCGTGGTGGACCTCGTGACAGCAAACACCGTCGTGTACGGAAAGGCACGTCTGCGCGGCGAGATGGCGATTGCGGAGCTCGCCGACCTTCTCCTGATGGAAGTGGACCACTGCCTTGAGTTGCTCGAGACGATGGGGCTCAGTGGGCAGATCAGCGCGGACCGCCGCTCGCTGCGCATCGCGCGGGCCGACTCCTCGCCGTACACCACGCAAGAGGCGATTTACCGCCACCTGGAGGACACCGGCGGGAAGCCGCACCTCTGCCTGCCCACGATGCCCTCCTTCTTTGGGTTTACCGTCTGGCGAGAGGCGTTTGACGTGTTTCCCGACGCCTTCGGCGGTCTCCCCCTGGCGGAGGCGGCGCACGGGGATCTTCGCACGATGACGTGCCCGGTGAATCTCATGCAGCTGCTGGAGCCCTACTGCCCCCCGTACAACAACGACGTCGCCGCGCTGGAGCTGACGGACGCGGGGGATGAGTGGTTTGCCGACGTGCAGGCGGCGCGGGAGCGGATGCTGGCGTGGCATGCCCTGCACTTCTCGCACGGTCAGCGGTGCGGCACCGACGATGAGGAGGCGGACGCGGCGGGGGTCACGGACGGCGGTCTTATCCCGCGCGACAAGCGGGGGCCGCGGCGGCTCTCGCAGGAGCAACTGAGGGCCGCCGTGGAGGCGATGGACCGGGAAAGTCAATCCACGCACAGCTCCGTCTTCAAAGATGCCCCCAGCAGCAGCGGCGGCCACGACGACGACGACGACGAGCGCGGCAGCCACGCGGACGTGGCCGGAGACGAGCAGGAAGAAGCTCCGGGAGCAGCAGACCGTGCCGAAGGCGAGGCGAGGGAGCGAGCGGAAGAGAACGACGCGGACGACGGGGCGCTGCGTGCCGCCAAGGCGCTGCTGCTGTCGCTGCAGAACGACGCCGTGTACGCCAAGCTACAGAAGGAGCTGCAGGTGAGGGCGCGGGAGGACGCCAGGAGAGCCGCTGCGGCGCCCCTCCCGGACAATCGTGACAGCAGACCGCAGAACACCGCCGAGGATGTCGATGAGGATAGCAGAAATAATTCTGTTAATACAAGCACCGAGGCAGCGGGAGGGGATACGCAGAAGGCGGAGCCGTTGCCGCACACGCCGCCGACGGTAGGGCCGTGGTTGAGCCTGCCGCCACCGCCCTGCACGGTTTGCGTGTCGCCGTTGCCGAGCGAGTACCCCGGGAAGATGTCACCCAGCCTGCGCCCCACGGTGGAGACGCCCACCAGCGCCACGGCGGCCGCAGCGGAGGTTGAGACGGTGCCGCCTGTTCAGGGGGGCGTCGGCTTGGGCGGGGAGGCGCCGTCGGCGGAGGCCCCGTTGGCAGCAGCGAAGCCAACGGCGCCCTGTCCGTCATTTCCGGCCTTCCCTGCACGCGCCCCCGCCACGGGAGGTGGCACAGGTGAGCGAAGGGCGAAGCGACTACGCGAGGAGGCTGCTCCATCGTGTAGCCACTTGCCATCGTCGAAGCCGCCCGCATTCGTCTCCAGCTGGCCTTTAGGAGAAGAGGCGGAGGCGGAAAGCAAACGCGGCCGACAACTGCGTTCAGGGCAATTGGACAGTGCGAGCAGTGTTCACGCTTCATCTGTGGAAGGTCGTGAGGTGCTTCTGCCGTTTGAGAAGGAGGAAGAGGCGGAGGTGGAGCAACGGCGACAGCGACAGCGTGCTGAGGAGGCCGCAGAGATGCAGCCACCGCCCCAGCGGGCCCGTGTGGAGGGTGTGTGGCGGGGGACGTCACGTGAACCTCAGGGCGTGCGAAAGGTAACATTTGTGGCCCCCTCTGACGGCCCTGCGAAGTTGCCTGGGCCGCCGACCGCAGAGTTGGCAGGCGCCAAACCGCGGTCGATGTCGTACCGGGACACCATCCGGGCATCGCTGCAACGGCAGCGTGACACCTCTCGCGAGACCGTTGGGCGCACCTCCGCCAGTCAAGCCGCATGGCCGCCGCAGCAGCAAC